ACTCCTATCAAAATAAAACTTTATACAATGAAAGTATCCATGAAAAGTAACAAATTTTGTATTACAAGTTTCTTTGAAAATGAATTTTATTATGCAAATGAGCTATACACTAATCGAATATGCCCAAAATACACCCAAATAGGCTTATTTTTTTCCTTTACTCCTACCACAATAAAACTTTACACAATGAAAGTCTACAAGAAAAGTAAAACATTTTGTATTAGAAGTTTCTTTGAAAATGAATTTGAATATGCAAATGAGCAATTTACTAATCGAATATGCCCAAAATACACCCTAATGTGCTTATTTTTTTTTTCCTTTACTCCTATAAAACTCACAATTAAACCTCACAGAACAATGACAGTGAAAGTATACATAAAAAGTAACCTTTTTGTTTTACAAGTTATCTTGTAAAACAAAAATGTATGTAGTTAGCAGAGCCGGACCGTATGAGAGTACATTTACTTTAGTACAGTATTTAAGTACAATTTTGAGGGATCTGTACTTTACTTGAGGATCATTTTTGGGGAGTACTCTTGACTTTACTCAAGTACAATTGAGAGGGAAATATTGTACTATTTACTCCACTACATTTCTATCCATAACAGTGAGCACCCATTACTACTTCTAAAAAAAAAATGAAAATAAGAAAAATCTCGGAGACCCTCAATTTGTTGTTTCCCTCTCAAACGTGATTGGATTGTGCAAGCGCCTAGCCTTTCCTCATGCTGTCTTGCCACAGCGCGATTTTATTCATGCTGCTAGGCAGCCTGGACACTAGGGGTGTAACGGTACACAAAAATCACGGTTCGGTACGTACCTCGGTTTTAAAGTCACGGTTCGGTACGTTTTCGATACAGCAAAAAGAAAGAAATGCCAGAGAAATTTCCTATTTGTTTAAAGAAAAAATATTTTTAAATAAGTGTGAGTTTTCCTAGATCTTGAAACTTTCAGGTTTATAAATGGGGGTCATCTTTGAAGGATGAACAAATAATGTTTTGGTCATCACACACTCAGAAAAAAAAGGTACAAAAGTTGTCACTGGGGCTGTACCTTTTCAAAAGGTAAACTTTTGTCCATTTCATGAGCTAATAAGTACATTTAGGTGTTAATATGTACATTTTGGGTGTTAATATGTACATTTTAAGTGTTAATATGTACATTTAAGTGTTAATATGTACATTTTAGGTGCTAATATGTCCATTTCAGGAGGTAATATGTCAATATTATGAGCTAATATGTCCATTTTAGGTCGTAATATGTACATTTGAGGTACTAATATGTACATTTTAAGTGTTAATATGTACATTTAAGGTGCTAATATGTCAATTTCATGAGCTAAATGTCCTTTTCAGGTGGTAATATGTCCATTTTAGGTGCTAATATGTACCACTAAGGTACCAATATGCAGCCTTTGGGTACAAAAGTGTACCTTTTGAAAAGGTACAGCCCCAGTGACAGCTTTTGTACCTTTTTTTCTGAGAGTGCATTAAAAATAACATTTAAATATATATATTTATTTATATAATATTTGAATTTTGAAGTGCTAGAAAAAGATGTGTGAAGTACTTGAAAGCATTTCACCATTCCAGCCAAACTGGTTCCAGTTAGTGTTACTATATTAAATCCATGGTGAATGTTGCTGGTCTGTGGACGAAAGTATTACTAGTTCATTCACGGCACAATGTTTCTCCTGGTTTCCATGACAGCGCTGTTTAATCTAATAGAGATCTACGGTAAATAACGGAGAAATGTGTATGCATCTCACTAGATCTCGCAGCGATGTTATTACCTCAGTGGCGAATTCAAATGTTTTCTTTACCGGATCTCTTAGCGCTGTGTAGTAACAGTGTTGCTTGATGGAGATCGGCTCGCGCTGCACAGATGTTGCTGGTCCGAACTGATAAACGATCCGTGAAGCACATAACGAGTAGCGCAGTTTCGTTCTGCTTTCATTACGCTTGCCAATTTGATGTTGCGCAACGTTGTGTTGGCCGCGTCAGCACGAATTTTGCCGGCAGGAAAAATTATCCAAGCAACCGTTCGGTTTGTATGCGTACCGAACCGGAAGCCTCGAACCGAAACGGTTCAATACGAATACATGTACCGTTACACCCCTACTGGACACCATGAACCAAATTTTCGCCTGAGCTAGGGAACCAATCACAGAACGGGGAGGGAGCGGCAAGACGATGACGATGTCTATGCAACACCGAAGCAGTTTGTGTATCTCTATGGATCCATCTTGGCAGTGGACGTGAAGTTACCTTTTTTTGATACATACATACATACTGTAAAACTTAAAATAATAGCCCGGGCTCTTATTTTCCCAAATCATCGAACTGCACCGGCTTGTATTTGAGACAGGCATCTATATGAAACCGGCCTTTATAATTTAGTGTTGAGAGATGTGGTTCAATGAGTCTATAATCTCTTAAAATCTCCAAATGCTCCACCTGAAACTGCGATCTTCCAACCTTTTACTATCGCGTCAATTGATTTGATTATGCACGAGGGAGACAGAGCAAGACAGCGCTCGTGTTGTTTGAAGACGTGAGAGTGCGCGAGCGTGTCCGGTGCGCTCTCTCTGCTCCTTATGTGTCCTATCAAGTGCAGCAGTTTCTATTCTACATCACTCACCGATCAAAATAGTCTTTGGCGGGACAAACATTTGCTTTGGCAGACACCAAAAAGCGGACGATCTGATGGTTTTAGAAGATTAACAACCCGAAACTAAAAAACAGACCTGGCCTCATTTGAGACCGGCTTTTATTTACCCAAACCTGCAGCCACACCAGGCGTGTAAAAGAGACAGACTATTTGGGACTCGCTATTATTTTAAGTTTTACTTTAAATCTTATAAATCTCTGACCCATCATCTTTTTCCTCGTCTAATTTTCTGCCGTTCTTCATACGTCATCTAGTATCATTGACCCGATTGGCTATGAGCTACGTACAGACGCATTTGATAGACATTCGTAGCACCCAATAATACGGCTCCGGGCATTCATAAACCACCCCTCAAACACGAGAAAATGAACATGTGGTTTCTAGACAATGTTTCATTCTCAATGAGACGTGGTCTGATATCAGCAATTACCTTCAGCTTTCCGCCAAAGTCAACTCCATGGTCAGATTCAGATAAGAGACCAAACCATGGACGAAACAATGGATAGAGACGCAGCCGGCCCATCCCGGGAATGTGCCGACCCGTGGCCCTATATTCTGAATAGTGACTGAAAAGTGACCCTGAACTCATCTCCAGTGGAACCTCAAACTCTCCCTCCAACGTCAACATCTGCGAAGTTCCATAGTCTTCGGGTCTTTTAACAAATGATGGTGTGGAAAGGTGGAAGTGAATGTATGGACCCAAAAGACGGGGGGTGGCATGTTTTGGATGGGGGAGTTTTGCCAATAATGACCGATCAGCCTGCGGCACCAACAGAAATACTAGATGTAGTCCGCTGTAGTTTCAAGAAAGCCTGTGGCACAAAGAGAAGAACATGCAAAAAACATGGACTCCCTTGCACTGCCATTTGCAGAGGATGTCGTGGTACTAGCTGCATGTACAAACTCACAGTCACCTTATCTATCAGATGAATATGAGGGGAAGAACTAAGCAAAGAACAAACCAGGAACTGATTTGGGGATGCCAGAACCAAGAGCCACAGACAAGGGGTCGAGGATAAAATAAAATAATAGAAAACATAAAATAAAAAACACCCAACCCTCCCCTGAGGCTTGTGAACCTCTGTGACCCTGAAGACTATACCGGCGGGGGTTATACCCCTGACAGGTACTACCAAGCCAGGCAGTTTTCAGGTTAGAGGCCAGTCTAAAAGCAGCATTGCCATCACCCATTGGCAGTAGGATGATTGGATGAAGATTGGGCCGATTTGTCATACATATGAAGGGTGTTTCTGCCTCTGCAAATTATGACATATTCAATAAGTGTAGAGCTCATGTGCATATTCAAATTAATTTCAAAAGAAACTTGTAATACAAAAAAAGTTAATTTTCCTGTATACTTTTACTTTGTAAAGTTTTATTGTGGTAGGAATAAAGGAAAAAAAATTAAGCCCATTAGGGTGTATTTTGGGCATATTCGATAAGTAAATTGCTCATTTGCATAATAAAATTCATTTTCAAAAGAAACTTCTAATACAAAATGTTTTACTTTTCTTGTAGACTTTCATTGTGTAAAGTTTTATTGTGGTAGGAGTAAAGGAAAAAAATAAGCCTATTTGGGTGTATTTTGGGCATATTCGATTAGTGTATAGCTCATTTGCATAATAAAATTCATTTTCAAAGAAACTTGTAATACAAAATTTGTTACTTTTCATGGATACTTTCATTGTATAAAGTTTTATTTTGATAGGAGTAAAGGAAAAAAATAGCCCCATTGGGGTGTATTGTTGTCCGGCCTTTACTGGCACACATCTCGGATTGATGCGAATTAAGCATATTTCCTCAACTAGGATTTCTTAGGACTTTTAGTATGTTGTTCTGGACACCTCATAGAAATGATCTATGCTGAAAAAAAATATTTTACAATTAGTCTGTCGTAAAACGCTACTTTGCCTGGACTATCTGATGAAGCTGTTTTTTAAAATTCAAAACAGAAAATTATTCGCCTATCAGAGGTAACGTTATATGTTGCTTACTTATCTATGAAAGAGCAGCCTGGGCAGGGCAATTTCTAACGTCAACAACTCTGTTCGCACGACTATGAACTAAAAAAAATCCCACATATCGATTCTCGGATATGCGGCAGCACCAGCGCGTGCTGGGTCTCGAGCAATCGCAGTTCATCATAACTTTATGATAGTCAGTCGCACCTTGCTTGCACAAATGACGCCCAACATTCATCTAAACATACCGCACAAACATACTGATACAATACAGGCGCGTATGAGTGGGTGATTATCAATTGCCGGAGAAGGAATGAATCGATCTGCCCAGCATGTCGTACGCGAGGAGGGTCGGGTGTCGTTACTTACGTGGCAGGGTAGCGGACGGTGAGGAATCTACCATCGGCCCACCGGTGTACGTTCTGCCGTCCACAGATGAACTCGTACACGGACTGGAGTGTCCACAGACTCGTGAGCTTCGCACTGTCCTTACATCCACGGCTACTGGTGTTTCCTCATTCTTGTCACTGCTATGATGAGGAACATCCCACTCTTAAAGTTGCAACCCATCAATGCTTAAAGCTGTGACCCACACGGTCCGGTGGACTTAAGTTGATATGATTCGAAAGTTAAAAAATTTCCACGACAAAAAGCGTTTGTGAAGATACTTGGACGTACACAAGTGTCCTGTCTACGCATGGTTAGTTTGCATGCGTCCAGATAGTGCGTTTCCAGCCCTGCAGAGGGCAGCATGATTCTACATTTGTACAAAAGCAACACAGATGAAGAGGAAGAATCGGCATCTATGGTCGGCATGTGCGGGGTTGCAACATTTATATCACTTAAAAAAGAAAATTCTGTCATCATTTACTCACGCTAAAGTTGTTTCAACATTGTATAAATTTCGTTCTTCCGCTGAACACAGAGAAGATATTTTGAAGAATGTTAGCAACCAAACAGTTGATGGGCCCCATTGACTTCCATAGTATTTTTTCCCTACTATTGAAGTCAATGGGGTCCATGAACTTTCTGGTTACAAACTTCTTTTGTCTTCAGCAGAAGAAAGAAATTGATATAGGTTTGGAACAACTTGAGGGTGAGTAAATGTCAGAATTTTTAATCATTTTTAAGTGAACTATTCCTTTTAGTGTTGTGCATTTCTATAATTTTCATGGCAAACACAAAATCCAAAATAATCGCTGCAAAAAATCCTTAATTTGTGTTATGAACAAGAAAATTAAACCCTATTAAATGTTATAGACAAATTATTCAATGGAACGCCCCAACTATACAATCCTAAAAAGTATGTATCTTGAATTTGTTTCGGGGGAAACAAGTCATTTCATGGTAATTTTATATAATTTAATTTGTTAATATTGTAATTTCTAAATAATCTATATAAATAATGTAAATAAAGTTATGGTAAATGTAGTAAGAGTACTATGCTAGTATGCAGTTCAGAGTTCAGCAATAGACCCTTCCACTATGCTGACATTATGCTCATGCAATGTTTTCACATTTAACAAGAGTGGCACTGTTTTATCTACAACAACTGTGCTTTAAACCACTTTATTTCTAAAAAAAAAAAAAAAAAAAAAAAAAAAAAACATAGCCTATATATACCCCCATAAAATATTTTGCACAATTTTTTGTTTGTTACTTTTTTTTTTTTTTTTTGACAGAGGGAGGCGGGAGCAATATTATGAAGCTGCAGACTCGGAGCCTGCATCTACAGTCCCCCAACGAGAGTCCCGCATTCTCAGACCCCTCGTTTTTCGAACACAGCGCCTCATGCTGTTCAAAAGATCGAATAACACCCGCACACAGAGTACAGCGCATTATCCAAATGCAATTAAAAACAATAGGATGCAATATTACGGTCTTCAAATAAATTATCCAATAAATATTTGTGTTCCCTGCTTAATGCATGTGTCAAAAAAAAACCTAATTGTTACTGATGGAAGGGATACAATTAGCAGATTGAACTATCTTCAGAAAAATAGTAGGCTATATTATATTGCTACAATGTTTTTTTTATTATATTTTTTTATTCAAATTCCAATTTTTCTTTCAGTTAAACCTATAATGGTCTAATTAACATTACCATGCTAACATTACAATATCTGTTTTTTGATATTTTGAATGCGAAGCAAAACAAATCAGAATAGACAAAACACCAATAATAAACAATTCTGTACTTTATTTAATAATCACCTAAACATCATCTTGCTGTAAAGAAAAAAGGAAGAAAAAACAGTGTTTTTGACTTTACTTTTCGTCTTCAATTGCATTAAAAAAACTCATTTATAAGTCCCTTTGCATAATCATAAAATGATATGTTGCTGGATTCGGCAGGGGCAACTCCATAGGACCGATAGCACATGTCTTATGATGTTTCAAAAAGAAAGAAAGAAAAAAAAGAAAAAATGTTTGCAAATGTTAGTTACCATGTTTCACTGCTCTGTTGAAGTGTCCCTTGAGATGTTTTTGAACTTTGGACAACTTTGTGGGTTTGAAATATATGGGGGCACAAAATGGGCAGTGAAAATAACTGCAGCATTTAAGACATTTCTACAAAAAGTCCAAGGTTAAAGGCTAACGTAAACATAAGCTATCTAAATATTTTCGGGGAGAAGAGGGCGAAAAAACATACATTAACGGCTCAAATCTTGTTTCAAACTATCTTTACAAATATTAAATGGACTATTCATATGTTGTATCGATGAGCTAAATTAGTTTTATTAACAAAATAAATCAAACGAGTAGTCTACTACGAATCGCTAAATAAAATTGAAGATTTTATTTATCTACTCATGTTTTGGCTTAAGTTCTTCACATGTTCTTCACATGTTTATCCGATACAATTTGATAGGAGGCGCTGTCTCGAAAAACGAGGGGTCTGAGAATGCGGGACTCTGGGTGCAGGGGGACTGTAAATGCAGGTCTCCGAGTCTGCAGCTTCATACTACTCGGCGGGAGGGGCTTAGAGAGTTTCCATGTTGAGATCACATGCCCAGCTAAGTAATACTTGGCTTTATCCAAAATCACATACTTCCAAAATGTAAAAAAATGAAAAACAGAATATTAACAGACAAAATAAGCGTGTCTGATTTCACAGTACTCATAAAAGAGTAGGCAAAAAGCACCCTGATGACCTACTACTTATGGACAGATTCTGAACTGTCCCATTGACTATCCCATGAGGCCACGATAGAAGATTTATGAATGGAAGTGAAGCGCCAACTGATGCTGGTAGGTCACATAATGACAGCATGGTGAATGTAGTACATCCAGATTTCATACATACTACACACATTTATAACATCTGTATCTAGAACATACTTTTTAGCTGTCGTAAAGTAATTACGTATTATAAAATAAGTATCCACTCAAGAGAGCATGTGATTTCGGACGCAGACCTTGTTTTGTTTTAGTAACCCGTCAGATTGAATGACACCTTTAAACTACCCATGATGCATTTTAAAAGACATTACACAAGATTAATTCAATTGCACATCACACCGATGTTCTCTTTATTAAGTGACGCTGTTCTAACTGTTCTAACAGTTCCAAAATACAAGGATTTCAGCCTGTGTTAGTATATTTAACACACGCCTCATGATGTTCACGTGTGGCTCAGCTAATTTAGCACACACTTCTGTGTCTGAGGACACGTGTCTTTGTGACGGCAGAGCTCCTTCCACTCAGTGTCAAATCAGCTCTGTGGCAGCTTCAGGTGAATTGAAATCATGGCCGGAGAGAATTCAGATCAGCTTTCATAAAAAACAAACAAAAAAACACAAGTGCACAGAGAAACAATTCATCCATACATTCACCCGGCACTACATCAATCCATCGTTCATCAAGTATCTCTAGTCTTCATCTTTTCCTCCAGTTTTGCTCAGCTATAGAAAAAAACAAAACAAAACAAAAAAACAACAAGAAAGAAGATAATAAATATGTAAAAGTATAAGCGTGGACTACCGTTTAAAGATTTGGGATTGCAAATATTTTTTTTTTTAAATTATTTTGAGTCTCTTATGCTCACCAAGGCTGCATTTATTTGAACAAAAAAATGCGGAAAAAACTAATATTGTGAAATATAAAAATAAATAATGCATTTAATTTTTTTTCAGTATTCTTTCATGAATAGAAAGTTCAAAATACAATTTGTTTAAAATATAAAATTTAAATATATTTAACATTGTGAATGTCTTTAATGTGTCCTTTCTAAATAAAAGTATTATTTTAAAAAAAAAGTTCTTACTGACCCCAAACTTTTAAACAGTAGTGTTTATATCACATAATCCATTGTAGAGTTGTAGTATCAATTGTAATTTAAAATAAATAAATATATAAACATGGTTTCATTACGCCATTCACTATAATGATTACCTGAATATTTAATTCATAATACAGAGGCCCCAAAAATAGTTGAATTCTGCAGCCAGACATAATTTGTATGTATCCATTGCATTAGATGTTAAAATATCAAACCAAATGGCATCATAAAAATATATGATGCATGACACTTTCTCAAAACTAACTTTTTGGTTTACTTTAAACCATCTGCTCCCAAGGTGATTTGTAGTGGATGTCTGAAGTCAGTTCACACAATTGTCCTTTAGTAGAGCATACAGCATGAACTAGGCCCAAGCAATTTTGTCTATTGTCCACCTGGCTATTATTTTATTATCTAAAACCTCAATTTCACATTTCTGTGAAACGCTTGCATCGTTTTTCTTGATATTTGTTATGTAATGTCACAACATTTAAACAGTTTGTCTTAAGTATGACCTTAGAGTCCAAACACTTCTGGGGTCATTGTATATTATACCTTAAATATAAATTGCTTACATGCTGTTTGGTGAACAGAAAATGTGGCAACGGATGGTCGGGATCCCCACACAAAAAGAGAAAAAAGACAGACATTATAAAACAAGTGTCTCTGAATGTTTAAAGCCCCCGAAAATACTTCAAGCGGAATCGGCGAAAGAACTGGTGTGACGTCATTTCCACCAAAATCAGGCCAAACTTCAAAAAGAAGTTTGTTTGGTGTTCATTTAGAGAGTTCAAAACAGGAGTTTTGGGTGAACAATCCCTTTAATCTTTTAGGCTCTGAGCGCGCTCAACCAAACACAAACGAAACGTCTATTTACGTACTTTTTTTAGTACTACTGACAAATGTCTGTCGAGGTAAGATGCAAGCAAAAACATGAACACATTGAGATCCGCTTTATGATCAAAATTAAATTTGTAATTTTAATTTCAGGAGCCAATGAAACCGCTTTCTCTTGTTTAGTTTAGTACTGTACAGGCCCGTACACACCGGGACGAATATCAGCGCGCGTTATTCGTCAGCGTTTTTCAATGCGTTTTTTGTGTTCACACCCAAGCGATTTTCGCTGACGATGAGCCGAGTGAACATGCAAATTCATTCCCTGACATTAGATGCCGCCAATTTGCTCTGCAATACCACTCCATACTGTATCAGTTTTCTTTTTTCAAGACGTTTGTAGTCGCTGCCGCGTTTGTCATATAGTTTTTTATGTTCTAGCACCAACGAGAACAGCAGCTCTACATTCATCGTGCCTTGCATCTTCCTCGTCTTATTTCTTCCTGTCTGTGTAGACCATAGATATGAAAATAAGGCGACGCTACTTGGCGTATTTCTTCTTCGCCGTTGCATGTGTGTGCTCGGCAAGACCGTTTTGTGTTTGAGCGCCCATAAGTTGTGTTTTACTGTAACTTCAGAAGCTCCAAACACGTGAGAAAAAGCGCCAACCTCATTGGTCGTATAGCATTTGACGAGGCGCGTCAAACTAAAAAGACGAACTCGAGGCGTTTTTTTAAAAATGACGCTTTTACGCGTGGCGTTTTACGCGTCGGTGTGCGCCCTTTGTTCAGTCACAAGGCGTAACTTAAACGTCGGCGAATGACGCGCGCGAAATTTGTCCCGGTGTGAACAGGCCTTAAAGCTGCTTGCTTTTAAACAATCTACTGTATAAAAAGCTATATAAATAAATGCAACGTGACTTTACTGGAGTGCCGAATTGCAGAGATTGTGGGAACATCCACATTGTTATGATAAATGCCTTTATAACTATTGTTTTTTTCACCGCTGTCTTTTAGTAGTGTGTTTATTTGGTTATTGAGAGAAAACTGTAAAGCACATATTAACATATTTATCCAAACGCACAGCAGCGTCAGGATGTTCGCTAACAGTATACAACGCTGCTTACTTAACTTTAATTCAACATTTTTTTATTATTAACGAAAAAGAGCATCGCCATGAGTACATCAGGGGCCTTAAGAATGTGCATTAATATTTTAAGCATCAAATGGCATTTGTAAAAACAAATTTCTGTTGTAACTTACCTTAATAACATCTATCCAGTTCCAACCTCTTGGTAGTTCACCCTTATTATCTGTTCATGCAAAGGGCAGTTTCACATCAGTGTGCAATCAAACAACAAAGCCAAACTTCTTTAGTTTTTTAGCCAATGATACTAACCTGTTTTTCCAATCAGTTTCCTCTTCTGTGATTTGGTTAGTTGCTCTTTCTTCTCCTTCTTCTTCTTACTGACAGAGGTGGAATTATTCATGACATCGCTGTTGGATATCAAGGTCTGAGAAACAATGCCAGTCGTTACATTATTTATTTTTTTTACAGGAGCTGTGACAAATTCATTCTGAACAATCAGTTTCCTGGCTACAACCTTCACTTTGTTCTTTTGAGGTGATAGTGATGTAATTGTTAAAATATTAATGTCAAATATATCAGAAAGCACTAGTGCAGACATTGCATAATATACTTAGAGAGCCCAACGCATCAAGAATACAGACCACAGCGGTTGTCACAGGCTGGTGGTTTTCCATGAGTGTTTCCTGGTTCTCTTTGGCCCACTCAAAAAGTGTGTACATCATGGCAGTGCCGAGGTTGGCCTCCACCTGTTCGCTCATCTTAGAGAGAATGTACTGCTTTGTATCCAGCGATCTAAAATTAGAAGGTTCATTTAATCCTGTTAAATCCACTATGAAATATGATATTCAATATAAATCTAATATATTTAAAGTGCCATTCAAGTACCATTCAAAGGCTTGCAGTCAGTAAGTTATATATATATATACTTTTATTCAGAAAAAGATACATTAAATGTATCAAAAAGTGGCAATAAAGACTTTTAAATTGTTACAAAAATTTCAAAAAAGTGAACTTTTGAACTTTCTAAATTATTAACAAATATTGAAAAAAAAAAATCTATCACGGTTTCCACAAATCTATGATTGATAACAAGAAACATTTCTTGAGCACTGAATCAACATTTTAAAATGATTTCTGAAAGATCATGTGACACTGAAGACTGGAGTAATTATGCTGAAAATTCAGCTTTGCCATCACATTTTAAAATATTATATTAAAAAAAGCAAGCTATTTTACATTTTAATCACAATTACATATTTTTTTTTTCATTTTTAAAATCCATACTTCTCCAGCCTCATTTTCTGACCTCTTTCTGACCCCTTAACATAAATGGTTTATATTGAGGGTATACTGAGGGTTATTTTCAGCATTATATTTGGTATATAGTTAAGTCATCTGTAAATATTATTTTCATTGGTTTTCTTAAATGTTTTTTTTTTTCTTAAAAAAAAAACCTTAAATGTTTTATAACCTGCATATAATCAACTCTGACACATCAGTTTGATACTGTAAATGTGGTCTGAGGTTGGACGATCCCCAAACAGCAAAGTACAGTCTGATTTAGATGATTGTTTGCACCATTTTTTGTTTCTGGTTTAAGTGGCCCTGGCAATTGAGTAAACATAGGCTCACTTATGGTAACAGTTTTGCATAATTAAAAGTAATTAAAATTCATTCATTCATGTTTGACAATCACTAAAGGATCACTAAACTTTTGCCATGGAAACACTGCTAATACAATACATTTATTTTTAGAAATTCTTAATTTTAGTTTCGAAAACAGAATAGGGCCAATAGTCTGGAAACACAAATATTTTTTTTTCCATACTTTGTTTTTTCCCCATGCTTATCCAGACCAGACTATTACTCAAATCAAATTCCATATGGTGACCGTGTATGAACCTTGTGTAATAATATTTCACAATACAGCCTTGGTTAGCATAAGAGACTTGTCTTACTGAATGTACACTTTTGAAATATAAACATATCCAGTTCAAATAATCTGACATATCTTTGTCAAGTACAATCTATGAACTTAGGTTAGAACATTTTAGCCACAATGAATGGCTAAAACAATCATACTCTGAACAACTTACATTCTGTTGTTGAAAAAAGTATCTAATGATATGTGCGGTGCAGTTTCAGGATAGTTCTCTGGCCAAGACACTTCTAACAGGAAGGATTTAGTGTCATCGACATCTCCTATCTACAAAAAAAAAAAAAACAACAAAAAACCCCACACAATTCAGACACAAAAAGTACCATGACCATGACATTACAAAAAACATTTGGACAAGGTACAACAGTAGTGCTATACTATATGTTTTTTGCAAACGCATCAATATATGCCAACATATATCAATAAACCAACAATATATGATTTGGGTAATCAGTTCCATCATAATAACATATCATCTTATGCCATCACCAAAGTGTAAGAGTGTTATACCACTAAAAAATGTATAAAACAAGGCACTCATAAGTATTTACTTTGCATTTGACATCTGCTCTAGCTTGTTTACTAAACTAGATAGATAGATAGATAGATAGATAGATAGATAGATAGATAGATAGATAGATAGATAGATAGATAGATAGATAGATAGATAGATAGATAGATAGATTTTGGATAAAAGTGTCTGCTAAATAAATGTAAATAGTGTTCATTTTATCTGTAGTTCATAGGCTAAATAACACATCACTGTAAGTCAAAGTAAACAGTATTTGGTGTATTTACTTTTTCCACAAAACTGAACTGAAGAATTAGTGGCGAGAAGCAGTTCTTACCCTGAACTGGAAAGAAACAGAGCTGAGCTCTTTAAAGCAGTCATCTCCTTCATAGATTGAACGCAGAGCCTCCAACTCCATCTGCACAAGAACACTTCAGAGTCAATAACTATAACCCTGCACTACCATCATATTATCATGTTGTGGACATTTGCCGTATATTTTCCTAGTGAACACAGATATACCATTGGGACATAAAAATGTAAACACTATACAGTAATATATCATCGCTGTACCATGGTAACACCACTTTACTTTTTTATATAGTGTTATTTAATTTCAGTATGAAATGTGGGCATAAACCAGATGTGCATTAAGTTTGTGGTTAGGTTAGAATACACAGCCTTTATAAAACTTCCACAATGAATTTAATGAGCATCATTTAGCTCATGTTAGCTTTAGCTGTAACTATCTCACCTCCTGGTCTTCATTGGCAGTCATGTTTTTCGCCAATTTAACACTTTAAACCTATAAACAGCGCTGGTGTATCAGCGGACTGTGGTTAAAATAAAGTTTAAACACTAATGAAGATCAACATGCTTTAATAACCCTGTAACTGTAACTCAGAATATTGTCAATCTCGCACAGACTACTCAACAGAGGAGAGTTGTCATCTCAGATGATAGTCTCGGTTACTGTCCCCTGCAGGACTGGAGTACAGAAATGCACTGGCACTGCAACACCTCTTAATATACACTAGATGGCGACATTATCTCATTATTTCAAGTATCAAAGCTAAAAAGATAGAAGGTAACAGCGAATGAAGGAGCGTACTAGGAAAATAAAACATTAAATCCTAAGAAAATATGCAGATACCTTCAAAAGGTGTTATTGTCCAGTTAAAAAGCATTATACTATCAAAGCAAAAGGCTTTTTTTTAGTTTTAGAGTCACTAACTGAGGTTTTGGAAAAGAATGAATACACAAATGCTTGTTTTGTTTTTATATCAGTCCTTTTATGTGTTGGTTTCAAACATCTTCTTCAAACCCTCTTAAATTAAAGTAATTTTTTGTGACCCGAATCCAAAAAATTCCATAGGCCTTTGTCATATTTTGTAATATTCACAAGATGTAAACAACACTAGTCCAGAAACACTTCCTGTTTCAGTTTGTAACTGTTTTCTTTATTTCACATGTAAAGAAAACATCTTAAAGATGTTTGTTTAACTTTTTCATTCAGTTTTAAATGTTCTGTTGGTTGTATTTTATCCAGCTTTTATGTAGTGTTAAAAAACTGAAACAGGAATTGCTTCTGGACCAATGTTGTTTACATCTTGTGAAATGGTGATAAGATAATAAAATAACAAAATAACACTGGAAAGGAAGACAACAGTCAATTTTATATTAAGATAGGCCTATTTTTCCTAACTGTCAGCTTGGGGCAAGTTGTCATGTTTAAAATATTTATTTTTTAGGTAGGCCTACATTGTGTAAAAATGTGAATTCTGTCATCATTTACTCACCATCATGCAATTCCAAACCTGTATGACTCTCTTTTTCTTCTGTCAAAGAAAATACATCCCCATTTACATCAGAAGTCATTGGTTAATGAAAACTGTTACATTCTTCAATATATATTAACGGGGAGTCATACAGGTTTGAAAAGACAATGAAAGTGAGTAAATGCTGACTGAATTGACATGTTCAGGCGAACTATCCCACTAATAGCAGGAATCATTGTGACAACTGAAAACTGAATCTGCTAAGTAGCCTAACTCATGTTTTATGCAAAAAGTTTTCATTGTGCATTATCTGAAGTTCATCAATTCCTATCTGCATTCTAATTAAAAAGCCTTCAATTATATAATCTAATCAGAACAAAACAATATAATTTTACACCTTTTGCTTAATGGTTCACATTTACATAGTAATCAGGACAAAGCTCATTTAGACTTTCAGTGCAAGGACCTTCACAGCGACATGTTGATTACAGCACTCATTTACATGTGGTTTACGGGTCAACACATTGAGACGTGATTAAAGCCCTCTCTGATTGTTGTGCGAACCCAAAGTCACAGAGAGTCGAGCTAGGGCAGCAGATTCTATCCCAGCTCACTTCTGACAGACCGAGCCAAATTACCTGTTGGGATGAAGATTTACTGTTCTAATTTCAGATCTATTTCACCAGACCTCTTCCATTAAACAAGCCATCCAAAAATAAGTTTATAAAAGACACAAATCAGGGTCAAGAATAAATCATTTATCATCTCTGTGAAAATGCAATATTTATCATAGCTCCATTGGGCTCAGGTATTTGACAGTGAGCACAGGAGATGGGATGTTGCTCAAAGTCAAACCCATACACACACACATACTGATGTGGGGAAGCAAGGAGCCATTTTAATGACACACCACTCTCCACATGTGCATTAACTTTTGAGCATTCTGACCGCTTGATTCAGTTCTGAGACTTGTTATGTAGTCTCAAAGCTTACGTGGCGGAGCATATGGCACTGTGGAGTCAACAGTATATTTTACACCATTGTATGTTTCTTTAGGCGTTGAACTGCAGGCTGCTGGCCAACGCTTTAACTCCCACAGTCTGAATTGCATGGTTGGCTCTACACAATCTCTTTTACGACAAAGTTGCAGGAGGACCATTGTGTGTGTGTGTGTTGTAAACCATTTGTATGCTCGGTTTGATGGTTTTGCAGTCTTTAAAAGGCGAATGGCATTAACATTTCCTGATGAGTGAGTATAGTCACAGACTCTGCACATGATCCGTTTAGAGATCCATTGTTTCCAAGCCCACAGCCTCTCTGCCAGCCTTTCATTTTGGATCGCAATGTTGTCATGTGCCTGCTGGAAACAAAAAGCTTAAACTTAAACCAGCCTAAGCTCTAACTTATGCAGAGCTGTAAGTTTTAGTAATTTGGTAACACTTTATGATAAGTATACGGTACAAGTAATTACAAATCATTTGCAAACTATTAGTTAATTCATTCATATATTAGTCTCTACTTTTTAAATATAATACACACTATAATGAGTTCTTAATTCATTGTCACTGTAATTAATTATTATTGTTTAATTAGCTTATATGTAACGAGATCATGTTTTTTTATACTTTGTACATTACTTTGTACATTACATTTACATTGTAAATAGTTCTCACTTTAGATATAGGTCACAAAAAATCTGAAAATGACAATAAGTGCTTTAACCAACCTTTATTAGCATTAATTACATTAGTGTTCACACACACGCAATAAGTTTGTAAATGTTTTATCGGGACTGACATGATTTTGATTCTGTACAACGTGTATTTTCTATCCCCTAACCCCAAATGCTCTATTTTAAACATGTATCTATGTGTGTGTCTGTGTGTGTGTGTGCGCGCTTAATGCATTTATAAAAATTTAAGGAACAATGAAAATTAATACAATTAATGTCCAATAAAGGTTGGTTTAAAGGACTTAATTAATGATATTTTCATATTTTCCATGACCTAATCTAAAGGGAGAACTATTCATAACTAATTCATAAGTTCTTTATTACTGGTTTAAACTACTGTACATCATTTATATGGTTGTTAATAAAACAGAAAAAAATCTATTTTTAATTATTTTATGAGCTAATTAAATAATAAACATTTTGTTATTTACAGTGACAATGAATGAGGAACTCACTATTTAGGCCTAAATAATAATTTAGAAACTATATAAACTAATAAACTATACTAATAGTTTATTAATGATATACTTTATTATGTAAGTACAGTAATTGTAACAGAAACAAAGGCAAAACATTACATTTAGCCTACATGTTTTAATTGATGTAAAATTAATAACTATCTCATAATGTATGAAATTTGGTGTTTTGTAAGAAATAAGTAACCTGGTTGCCTTAAAATTTTAAGTTTATTGAAATGGAAAAAATGAGTCAATAAAATGAAGGAGATTCATTTAATCACCAGAAACTCAAAATATTATGTTATCTGAACTACATAAATTATCTAAGTTGATTTGACAAAAGAAGAACATGTTGTGATTACAAATCATGAATATATAGTCAAGTCAAGTCAAGTCACATTTATTTATATAGCGCTTTTCACAATATACAGATTGTATCAAAGCAGCTTCACAGTGATAACACAGATCAACAACATTGCTAACCACTAAATAACCCCAACTGAGCAAGCCAAAAGCAAGGCGACAGTGGCAATGTATATATAAATATATATTTTTTTTTACAGTGTAGGCTATGATCATTTCCAAAATAGTTCCACCAAAAAATACCAAGCGTTGGTAATTACGAGATAAAATGTTTAAATTATGAGACAAAAAGTCTTAATTATTATATAGACTGTAATATATATATATGTATATATATATATATATATATATTATTACATAAAAGTCGAAATTTTTAAGTCGAAACATTATGACATGGGGCATAGGCTACTAACTCAAATAATGAGATAAAGAGTCAAAATTGAATCAATTTATTTTGGAGCCTTATTAAGCCATTGCCTCATTATCTATTTCAACTTTTTGTCATCATTGAGACTTTTAACTCGTAATTTCTCGACTTTTTAATCTCACATTTTCTATTTTGTGACAATTTTGACTTCTATCTACCAAAGCATATTTGCAGCTGCTGTTTTTGCATATGGGGGTCTAGTGATCAGTGAGTCATAAATCCACATCTGCCCGGAGGAAATCCTTGCAATGTGCGCTTGCTTTCCAGTGCCCAAGGGCTTCACGATTCTCATCCTTCCTGTCTTGCTCGTGTCCTCTGCTCTTAGAAGGACAGTTTACTATAATGGTTCGTGTGGCTCGAGCAAATCGAGAGGGCAGAGCTTAGCGGACTCAATTGCATCTATTTCTTCTGGTTTCCTCTCACGCTGGCGAGTGAATCCAGCGCGAGGCGAGACGGAAAACAGCACCGACCGCCACAGGGATGTATACCAAACACAGACAGAAAAACGGACACATTTCATCGACACGATGTGTGCTTGTATTGCTATCGATTTTTCTGTTTAACGGTTTACTGGAAATAGTAGGCGGAAATCCTCGGGAGGAAGGTAAGATAGCGCTTTCATACCCCAGAACCTACTTGGAAAGTTGTTCTCGTTTATCAACCAGTTGCGCGCATCACCGAAGAAGTTTTTTTGCTGGGAAAACGCATTCCAAAAGTGTATCTTTGATGCATAAATCCATTGTTTGCTTAGGTTACTGTGTAAAGAAAAGCTTTTTTGAGCAATAATTCATCTGTGATTTCTTTCCCATATATGGATGTGGATGTTGCCTATTGACTAATGCAAGAAGACTGCTTTAGTCGAGCTGATTGTTTACTTTAATGTTGCTATAAACGTCGGGACATAATCAAATGTGGTTGTACCTAGGCTAATATGGACCTCAACTGAAAATAACATTCCTAGTGACCGAGAAGCAACTGTAGTAGGCTAGGATATTTTTGTAAGTTCAGAATCAGCACTTGCCTACTATTCAGCACTTTAGCCCAACCTGAGCAAACCGTTATAAATACATCATCGCAATTCTGAATCTATGATTCTAATCAGAAATCGGTAGAATGTGAATGATAAAAAAGTCCGAATCCCAAACGAGTGAGTGAATCAAAAACATAGCAACCGGATAGGCTAATCCAAATTCCAAAT